TTTTACAAGAAAATTATATATAGCAATAAGCATTTCCTATTTCCTTACTGTACACGAATGCATTTCTTGCTTTTTTTGTCTACTATTCAACTCACTGTTGTTGTTTTCATATGTTTTTCATATTGTTTGGAGATCAAAGTATGTTCAATTTATCAATTTCGGTGTTTGAATGGTAGGCACCTCCCCGTGGTTCAATATAAGTAGAATTATGGGGATTTGTTGACATCCTGGTCTTTTAAATTTTCCTTATATTTTTACACAATATTCTGAACCGGGGAGCATCCATCCTGAACCATGCTAACTCTAATGTAGCTTCTTTTAACTCTGAACAATTATTACTTATTCAACATATCAAGTTCTTTGAAATTCTGAAATAATAAATAATGAAATGTAATAATAAAAGCACTGACATTGTGTAGCCGATCAATCTAGAATGTCTTGTTGGTTTAAATTTTGTCTTACTATTCATCACCGAGAAAGTAACTACTTTTAAGCATTGAAGACCGTGAACAGACAAAACGAAACATTGAGACCAAGTGGTATAAACGGAAATCACAGAAAATAAAACAAGGATAATAAAAATGAAATGAAAACGAAAAAAAATAAAAAAATTCTTTTGGAAGAACAATCATGAGCAACAGATGAAAGAACATGAAAAGAACATGTTGATCTTTATTTTCTCAATATATTGCGGTGGCAAGGCCCTCCATCGCCTCATAAGCCTACGGTTAAACATGGTATGCAAGTAGATATCCGCCATCTTTCTTATCGCAATCACGAGTTGTTAAACCATACGTCGTATATTCATGTCACGAAGTTTCCATTTCTTTACTTCCCACACATTGGTATAAACGATAGACGTATTATAAATGATCCATTGTTAATATGAAAGTGAATTATATGAGTGTGCATACCCCGTTTATTGCAGGTAATTGTGTTTAGGTTGACCTCAAATGGTACAAAGTTCTGCCTCTTAAGCATACAAAGTTTTGTTCAAAGACATAGGACTTCAAATTCTATGAAGATTATATTAAGGTTACACAACTTTTTGTATTGTCAGTAAATTGTTTCCATCCCCTTATCTCCCATGCTCTCTCGCTCTCTCTCCCTCCATACTGTTTATGCACATTATTTTGGATTCAAGAACAAACAATACATTTCATTGTATCCTTCTCTTATTAGTACAGTCGAGTTCACTTGCGCAATCATTATGAATGCATACATACGTCTCACTACGACGGCAACGCACTATGACGGCATTTGCTATAATTAGAGATGATGTAACATTTTTTTTTGTTAACATTTCCTCATGGACCAGTTGCATTGTGTGCTAGGAATATTTGATATTATTGACTGCTATGAGAGGCATCGCTGTTTCTGAAGGCTCAGGGGGACGCTACATCCTAAACTGACCCCGAGGCGCGCTCCGATGGGTTATCGGCATGATGTATAACAAAGGAACTTTTTAAACGTAAACCAATTGGGTTCTCAGCACTTAAAAAACCAGAAATTAGCGTTCAAATCGCAGAATCACTGTATGATATCCGCGCTCACCCAAAGAAATTTTTTACACGTAAACCATTAGGGATCTCAGGATTTTTGTATGCGGCACGTTACCCGTTTAGAAACAGGGGCTTAACATTTGCTCATTTGACGAACTTAGATTACTTCTGAGAATTGCATCATTTGATGTTATTGGTTTAAATGAAACATTTTGCGACTCCATGATTGATGATTCTGAATTGTATATAGATGATTATATTTTATTACGTATTATAAATGATCCATTGTTGATATGGAAGTGAATTATATGAGTGTGCATACCCCGTTTATTGCAGTTAATTGTGTTTAGGTTGACCTAAAACGGTACAAAGTTCTGCCTCTGTAAGCATACAGAGTTTCGTTCAAAGACATAGGACTCTAAATTTTATGAAGATTATGAAACTTGTTTGTATTGCCAGTAAAATGTTGCCACCCCCTTCTCTCTCATGCTCTCTCTCTCTCTCTCTCTCCCCCTCTCTCCATACTGTTTATGCACATTATTTTGGATTCAAGAACAAACATTACATTTTATTGTACCCTTCTCTTCTGAGTACACTCTAATTTACTTGCGCACTCATTATAAATGCATACATACGTCTTAGTACGGTGGCAACGCACTATGACGCCATTTGCTATAATTAGAGATGATGAAACATTTTATCTTTCATTGACATTTCCGCATGGGACAATTGTATTGTGTTTCGCCCCCCCCCCCTCCCACACACACTCAGTGTTATTAAGGGTACGCATATGCGTGTTCCCTCCTTTTGAAAACACCCCATAAGTCCGGTGTGTAAAGTCTTTTTTGTGTATGTACGAGCCGGACTTTGGTGCGTGAAAAGTACCCCATTTACCGGACATTTTGGAAACACTCATGCGGTCATTCCGACCCCGGAGTCGGGGGGGGGGGGGCATTGTGTACTAGGATTATTTGATATTATAAATATATTGACTGCTATGAGAGGCATCGCTGTTTCTGAAGGCTCAGGGGGACGTTACATCCTAAACTGACCCCGAGGCGCGCTCCGATGGGTTATCGGCATGATGTACAACAAAGGAACTTTTTAAACGTAAACCAATTGGGTTCTCAGCAATTAAAAACCCAGAAATTAGCGTTCAAATCGCAAAATCACTGTATGATATCCGCGCTTACACAAAGAAACTTTTTACACGTAAACCATTAGGGATCTCAGGATTTTTGTATGCGGCACGTTACCCGGGGCAAGCGGGCATCTTTTTAAAAAAATATTGACCGGTAGGCGGACATGGATAAAATCACGACCTCAATTTAATGGTGATACTTATCATTTATTTAAATGGGACCCTTCAGAGATGCTTCCACTGTCAAAAGCTGATCAGGGGTGGCACGAGCATCTACGTCTCGTCATGGCAACATGCAGATAAACTCTGTCTCTGGTACTGGCATACTACATCATAATCTTCAGGAACAATCTCATGAACTGAATAAAAGTAACATTAAACAGTTAAAAGTTGGTTCAGTTCCTCCGTTTAGAAACAGGGGCTTAACATTTGCTCATTTGAATATTCATAGCTTAGTTGCTAAGATTGACGAACTTAGATTACTTCTGAGAAATGCATCATTTGATGTTATTGGTTTATTAAAAAATAATATAATCAACAAGCACATACTGTATCAGTATGTAAAAAGCGGATAAGAAAAAAGGCATGTCCATGGATATCTGACGAGATTGTTAAGCTTATGACAGAACGTGATAAAGTTCTCAAAGCTGCTGAAGCTAACAAAAGTGATGATCTTTGGGACACCTTCAAATATCTAAAGAATACAGTTATTCATTTCATGAGGAAAAGAAAAAGAGAATATAATGCGGACCAGATCTCGCAAAATCATAACAATAGTAACCAAATGTGGAGATGCTTGAGAAACCTTGTGCCTATTAGTCATTACCTATTTCTCCCAACAGCATAAATGTTGATGGTGCTAATGTGTCAGACAATGCAAATATTGCTGAAGCTTTTAATGACTTTTTCATTTCTAATGCTACTAAGATTACAAAGGACCTGCGAAGTAATACATCTCAACTGAGAGTAGACGAGGACAATAATATTGGTCCAACTCATTCGCAATTTAATTTGAATTTGATTACTGAGAATTTTGTATTTAAACAGATTGATAATCTAAGTATAGATAAAGCAGCTGGGGAAGATCACATCAGCTGTAAACTTTTAAAGATGATGAAGAATTTTATCGCAGAGTCTCTTTGTGATATCATTAACAAATCCCTGTCTACAGGAGTTGTTCCACGTGAATGGAAAATGGCTCGGGTAGTACCAATATTAAAATCTGGAGATATTTCTTCTTTGAATAATTACCGCCCCATTTCAATATTACCTATCGTGAGTAAAATTATAGAAAGGGCCGTCCACCTACAACTCAGTGTATTCTTGGACGAGAATCAATTACTACTAATCAGTCTGGTTTTAGACCTTAACATTCAACAGCTACTGCCCTTGCAAAACTTGTAAATCAATGGTCGTTGAATATTGATAACAAATAGTCTACCTGAATGTACTGAATGTACTCCTGAAGGTATCATATATATGTTTGCTGACGATACGACACTTACCGTCAGTGCAAATGATGCAACTGTTGTGGAAGAAAAATTAACTATTGCATTAAACAGAGTCATGGCATGGATTAAGGAAAATCGTCTTGTTCTTAACACTGAAAAAACTTGTGTCATGTTAATAGGCTCTCGTGCTAATCTCAAGAAAATTGAATCTTTCACCATTTCATTAAATGTCAATTTGATCAATAGAGTTCATTTCACCAAATGCTTAGGACTTTTGATAGATGAAGAATTGAATTGGTCTAAACAATTTGAAAACGTAAGTAAAGTTACCCAGAAAAACATTAGCATGATAAAGAGAGCAAAGAGTTATTTGCCTAAAAAATCCTTTGATTATTTCTCGAACAGATTTTATTCTCATACAACTAAGCTGCAAAAAATTCAAAAGAGGGCCGCAAGAATAATATTGAACAAGACATATGACACACCGTCGGCTGATTTGTTCACAAGTCTTAAATGGATGACACTAGACAAGCGGTTTGAGAATAAGTCGCGTTATGATGATATATAAATGCGTTCATAGCTTAGTACCTTCTTACCTTCAGGTAGGCTTAATCAATCATAATGATGTACATGAGCATCTTACAAGGCAAATAGACAGTGGATGTTTACGTGTGCCTAGATTTCACACTGATTGTTATTAAGTGTAGCCCAATTGTTTCTTCCATATTTAAATGGAATAAGCTAGATAACTTCCTCTGTCAATTCATTTAAGAGATTGTTTAAACAAAGTTGTAATTTGCTCAGCCGAACATACACTACGTGCATGTTCTGTAATATTAACATGACTTATTCACATAATTGCGACTTAATCAATATTTTCCTTCAAAACCTTCTTACCCTACACAGCAAGTTACCTCTGCTATGCAGGCCACGTCTTATCCCACCCAGCCCGGAATCCCGGGCCAGACTGTCTACATCCAACAGCCCGCTCCAGCCAGCTATGCCACTCCGGTGCAGAACCCTAACTCATCGATTGGTGTGTCGCAGAAGTTTAACGGAGCTGCCGGGAGAGCGACTGGTTGGCTACAGCTGTGCCTCGGCATTGGGAGCATCGTCGTCGCCATTGCCGAGTTGGTTCTTGGCACCGAAGCAGGCTATGTCGCCATGGGAATTTGGGCCAGTGTTCTGGTAAGTCGCCATTATTATTTTTCTTCTTCGGAGTATGCAATATTATTGTTCCATACATGATTAACACTTTCGCAATGGCTTTTAATAGTTCCGCTCATCTACCTGTCAAATGTGCTAACATTTAAACACTTATTGCATAATCCCATTTCCACATACACGGATTTTTCTTACGAGTCCTTGCGGATCGCACAAATTCACGGATCTTTCACGGATCCTTACGATTTTGGCCACTTTTACGACCGGTTTCAAAGTTATTACGAGCTTTTTGCGGTTTATTACGGATTATTACGAGTTATTACGATGTATTAACGGCAACAGTTCACGATTTGTTACGAGTTGTCACGGATAACTACGAGCAACTAACGTGTTAGTTACAACCTGTTTACGTGTTGTTACGAATAGTTACGAGTCCTTACGATTTTTAACCAAAAAATATCAACTGAAAATGAAGCGTTCGAATTTGCAGCTTTAATACCTTTCCCCAATTCGTAAGCAGTTCGTAAGCATATGTAAAGTATATGTAAAGAATAGTAAAGTACTCGTAACTACACCTAAAATCGTAAACAACACGTAAGCACACGTACCTATTCGTAAACTGCTCGCAATAATCCGTAACTAATCCGTAAACAAATTGTAAACTAACCGTAACGAACCGTTACAACACACGGCCATGTTACGGACCTGCGGATGCCTGCGTATATTTGGATAACGTATTTTACGTATGGATAACGTATATTCTGCGGATGCTTACGTATATTTCATCCGCAGCAAAATTTTGAGATTTTCAAAATTCCGCTGCGGATCTGCGTATGTCTGCGGATCCTGCGGATTGAATTACGGATGGATACGGATGCTTACGGATGATACGGATCCTTGCGGATGCTTACGGACTTTTATCCGTAAGCATCCGCAGCTACCGTAAGTGGCCGTGTGACTGTGCCAGATTCTTGCGAGCAGTTTACGGATGATTACGGATTGTTACGAGCTATTTACGAGCTATTTACGGACAAATCAATCCGTGGGAAATCGTAAGAAGATTTTTGACATGTAAACAAAAATTGCCTCTCCTTTCATGGATGCTTAAGAGTGTCTACGAGTTGTTGCGAGTTGTGACGAGTTATTTACGGATACCAGCAAGTTATTTACGGATGCTTGCGATTGACTTCTAATTGGCGATCCGTAATGTCTCGTAAGAAAAATCCGCGTATGTAAAGGGGGTATTATGCCGAAAGGGTGCTGTGCAGCGCGGTGCGTTGTGGTGCGCTCAAAGCACCCTTTCGAAAGCCTCTCTCGCTTTCCTTTCAGGATAAGCGGGTGGGGGGGGGTGATTTTCTCGAAAGGTTGCATCAACTAGAATTCCACATCAGTCGTTTATAATAGACTTTAAGGAATAACAATTTAAGTCGCGGACACTGAATTGAAACAGATTGAAAATTAAATAGAACTACTTATAAGTAAATCAGGCCTTTACAAGAATTAAATCAATACAAAAAATGATCGTCTGAAAATTAAATTCAAAATTGTTACAAAATATCGATGAAATTAGTTAAAGATAAAAGTGAGTTCCACATGATCAACCTTTTCTGATCCATTCCACACCTTTTCTTTCACAATGCAATCGGATGACTAGAACTCACCTTTATCTTTAAAGTTCATAAAATGCTACTTCTTTGTTTTTCTATTGTGTCATCTTGCACATTTTTATATCTTTTTTATTTCCTGAAAATATTTTAAATACATTACCCCCCAAAAGACAAGAACATTTGATAAATCGCTCTGCGCAGGCCCCGAACACTTTTGAAGCATTCGATCATGATCAGGCGATTTAACTGAATTTGGCATTAGGTTTTACACAGACAGATGGGATAACTATAAAATTCATATTATACTTAAAGATACTATGTCCCTTTTGCAGCCAACATCAAATTCTGTAGAACTTTGCAGTAATTATGAATAAGTCATGAATGTCCTATCTGTAAAATGTAAACGTTAGCAGTGTCCTAATATTCAAATTATGCAAGGAAACCCGTTTTCTTGCTAGACTTCACTGTCAGACACTATTGAGTGACTGACTGGCATTTTTACTTCTTTGGTAATAACATAGTAAAGCTGTAAAGGATACATGAGCATTTGTCTACATCCATAACCCACAAGCAGCATGAAACGTACGACCATTCGGTACAATGGTCTGAAAATCAGACTTTAACTTACTGGCTCTATAGCTCTTAAGTCGATTAGACAACAAATAGTCGTTTTTCCCACTTAAAGACTTTCAGCCCCCCCCCCCCTTTTTTTTTTGTTAAGGAAAGTTCTAAATTAGAATTATCTTTCAAATGCCGTTATAATTTAACCTTTTCATTTTTGGCGTGCAAACGGGACATCGTTTAGCAGTATTAAATCTGAGATACACGGCCCTGTTATCAGTGTCTGTGAAATGGTGTAATATTGAAGCCCTAACAAAAATTACGCTTCAAAATGATCAAGAAGTGCCTCAAAAAAGTAAATATCTTTGAGTGACCGTTTTGTAATCATACTCGTTTTTCCCAATAGACTGTAGTGTTGTGAGAACCGTTAGGAAAACGCATAATTTGATTTCGATTTCCAATCATAAATATCTTGATAATCAGACAAGCGATCAGCTTGTATTAGTCATGGGGTTCCTGACTGACCTAAAGGTTTATAACTATGATTGCAGCATGAGTTTAATACAGGATTTTGTTTCAGAATCTAAAAAAAGTTACCCATTCTCTTTAATGAACATCAACGAGAAAATAAAAGAGGCCACCCATAATAATACTTTTTTTAAATTCAAAGCAAATTTTTCAGAGAGAAAAAACATTAGGATGCTTTGAAAACATGGAGATATATCAATAAATTGTTTATTTTTGTAATTTTGATTTTAATGGCTGTTATTTATTCTCCTCCCCTAGTTCTACATTCCTACCGGAATCTTAGGAATATGTTCGATGCAGAAGAACACTTGCGTGGTATGTAAAATGTTGTATTTCTTGTTTAGTTTCTTTTAGAAATATGTATTCATTACCCATAACTTCTTTATATATATACGCAATTTTTGTGTTTAAATTCGAGGGCTCACATATGTATACAGCTAACACACACACTGGGCAAACACATACACACGCACACGAGCGCACGCGTGCGCACCAGAGCGAACCCACACATTTAATTTGTTCCAAGGCCAATTAACCACGTTTAGCTTAGAAAAAATAATAGTGTCACTCAACAATAAGCAACTACATATGTCACAACCATGGAATAATGTATCCGCTAATATATACATTATTCATTCGTTTTTCTGTTGTTATTTTTTCAAAGAATTTTGTTTGAAAATCTTTTTTCTTAGATCAACGGCTATCTTACGATGTGTATCATCACGGCAAATGTTGCCTTTGCTCAAATGCTTCTGGGTGCCATTGGGGCAGTACACGGAATTGGCCATCTCTATTTCTATGACTATGGCTCCAGTGAATACGAAATAGTGGTTTGTATATACACTTCATGTTGCCCAAAAAGTTGAAATGCATTTCCCGCACGCCCTTCCATGAAATGACTGTTACAATATGGTTTATTCTTGATGGATATAGTTGATATCCTTTCATAAAATTATTGATCTATCTCTATGATTATTTAGATGAAATGTTTTATGTCCCTGGTACCCCATCAGTGTCGAATGCTTTTCGTTTTTTGCGCTTTCCAGTCCGTATTGTTTTGGCTTCGACGATTCCCACAACATACAATCTATAAACTGACAACGGTTTGTTTTTACTACATATTCAAAGTTAAAGATAACTGCTACTTGTAACAGTTTTGTTTCAACGAAATTGGATGACCAGTATGGAACTCTCGATGATGAAATCGTACATGAGCCCATATTGTTCAAAGCTTAAACACAGTGTTGCAAAAAGTCGAATGTTCACCGACAGTTTGATGTATTATATTTTCCCGGTTGGGATATATCCCTACGATTGTTAAACACAGATCCAGAAATTTAGCTTTGCAAACGAAGAATTAATTTTGTATTTTGGGGGAAAAGCTATACCCGATAAATATTAGCTGGTTTGCCTAATAATCAATATTTCATAGAATATATTCTACCTATAATTCACTGATTGATCTGATCTTTATTTACTGTTTAAAATAAAGGTCAAACTTAAAGTTTCAAAACCATAACAATGTTTGTAGAAGAATACATATTTGTGCGGTCGGGGACAATCAAAATTTTAGAAACAGAAGCGTAAAAAAAAAATTGGGGGGGGGGAATGTGGAAAAAATTAATGAGAAAAATATTGAAAACAAAAAATGACCCTCGGTAATGGTGTAATGTGTGTTATTGGTGACATACAGTCCTCAAAAGGGCGACATGCATTGATTAAAAATATATTCACTAGCTTGTTAATATCGCACTGAAAAGTGACCGGCCAGGAAAATATAACAATTTGGATCCTCACAATTGATATCACGTGATGAGCTCTGGACCAATCACATCTCGGTATCTGTCTAAGCTATCTAATGTATGAATATATCATGGATAAATGAATGCATGAAAGAATAGATAATTAAATCAATAGGTAAATGATGCATTAATAAATGAATGAATAGGTAAATAAATCAAAAATAAAATAAATAATCAAACTATTCAAATTCGATAAACAGGTGGCACGTATCGCATCTGACTCTCTGTTGGCCATTCTTGGCCTGATCGAGATGGTTGTAGCCATTGTGGCTTCAGCCTACTGCTGTGGTGGCAAGGCCTGTTGCAACTCGTCATCACAAACCGCCACCACTGTGGTGAGTATTTGTTGTACCCCCCTCCTCCCTGGACAGCCACTATCTTTTGTGGAGAGTAACATTATTTTTTTTCTTTCCTTCGAATCCATTGTCTAAAGAGTAATTTAACACGTATACTCGGAGCGGATTCCACCATACTTTCATTGAAGGTGGATTTCCACTCTTTTGGTTTATAAAAGAGACGCTCCCTAGGAAGAAATAAATCAATCGTGAGCGAAGGTCAAGGTGGCATGCTATTCTTTTCAAAATTACTTCACACAATCTTGACAAACTTCAACATGCTCAGAATGCACCTGCCAGGGTTTTATCAGGGACATCTAAATATGATCACATTTCTCCTGTTCTCAAAAAGCTACACTGGTTGCCAATCCGCAAGCGCATGTAATTCAAAATCCTCCTCCCCACATTGGAGGCTGTAAATGGAGTGGCACCAAACTATTTACAACATCTTGTTATACCTCATACACCAACTCGTAGTCTAAGATCATCACACCAGCATCTTCTTATGATCCCCAAGACGCGGGTAGCCTGTGATGAAAGGGCTTTTTCAGCTGCAGCACATTCTCTATGGAATAGTTTACCATTTAATCTGAGAATCATATCTTCCTAGAGACCTTTAAATCCAAGCTGAAATCTCATCTTTTTTTGACAATACCTGTACTTGGCACTATGACACTTATTTAAACTCTTTTAATCTTTCAATTTTTCTTGTGCGCTTCGGAATAAAATTGTCTAGAAAGATGGCGCTATATAAATGCCTATAATTATATATTTTTTAATAATAATCTTGACATTTTGAATTTTGATACACGTCTGTATACCAATTACTATTTCTAATTGCTATTTCTCTCTGCTCGTTACAAATACGGCTTTGAATGACAGGGATTTCTTCTGCTAGTTAGCATATTTCAGCGGAATTGTTTTCTTCAGTCAATATCATAATCTTCATACCCGTCACGTCCAAAACTGTGTGCAGACCCCCATTTGACTAGATAGTGAAATAAGACCTTATTTTAAAGAGTAGATATAGGTAAAAGAAAATGTCTAAGTACTTTTTGAGGGTACCATTTCCAGTATAATATGATCGAGTATAGCAGTCAAGAAGTATGACTTCACTGGAGCTACGAACCCACAAAGGTCGCGGATTCGAGCCGCCGCATGGCACACCAGACATTTAATACTACCAAAAGACATCATTTGCAAATTGATATGAGCGACCCTACCCCCTACATGGCACCAATTGCATGTGGCAAGACACAAACAAACGTTTGTTACTCTTAATCAAGCGGAATTAATAGGTACCTGATAAAACGTATTCCTTGCCATGATCACACGATAAACGCTACAGCAGCGGCAGGTGAAGCTAGAATAATGATGTCCAACAGCGTATTAGTTGATAAAATGTATTGTCAGCTATACAAAAGTAGATAGGGTCAATTTCATTATTTGGTTTTCATCCTACATTTATTTCATTTGTTTCAATTTCATTTGTAGTACACCCAACAGAACACTCCGATGGTTGTGACAACCGGTATGTATTAAAATAACGATTGTTTGTGTTTTTGTTTCAATGTCAATTTATATTTACTTGATATCAAACATGATCTTTTCATGAATTAATTCATGAAGGAATTCCAACGATAGGAAGTATAGACTGTGATACTAGGAGTATCAGAGCAAAGTTAACAAGAGTATAGATCGTGTGATATTTGAAATTGTCAACCAGCTGAAAAGAGAAATTCTTATTCTCATACACATTGATATAAACGTGTACGATCCACTGAAATGTTCTGAAAAGAAAGTCTGGTTTTCGGTAAAATTAAGAATCACTCACATTGAATTCAAAGATAGCCAAATGTACATTTATGGTAATTGAGTCATCTACCTATCAGTTGTGTTAAATGTCTGTTTGGGACTTAATTGTACCTAAATTTGGTAAACCTCTCTAATTCAATTTGCTGAATTTCGGTGACATTTGGGCAAGTTTAATTCTGTATCCCAAGCATTGTGGAATTTAAAAACACAGTGATACTAAAAACTACCAATTCAACTCGATTACTGGTAAGATTCCAGCTAAAAGGGATTTCAACTTGTTACAATTTTAGGTACACAACAATCTTTGAAGTGTGGTTGGTAGCGTATCGGACACGTACAAAAAGTTGGAAACGATTTTGCCAGCTCGAATGACAATATTTGCAATACTTCGCAGTTATTTTTTATTATTCTTGAATGAACGTACTTGAAGGGAAGGTCCATTATAAAACTAACTTACTTTCAATGGAAGCACCAAAAAATACAAACCAATCAACAACAAAAATTGAGCTAAATGGGATAACTTAAAAAGAAAGTTATGAACTTTTAATGATATGAAAAACTTTGAAATCACGATACAAATTGGCAAAAAATCTTATTTCCTCACACCAGCGCCCAAGTTCTATAATAAATAATATGTGTTTGTGTGGATGCACTAATTTAGAATAGTTTTTGTCAGTTAAATCATGAGAAATGTGAATTTTGATAAACTATTTATATACATATCATCATTTATGAATATACAATACAAATAGTATCAATTCTTTAAAGTTCAACAAATATTTTGTGAGGTGTCATACAAGCAGTATGATACAAATCATAACTTTGGCAAAGGCATGGAGAAATCAAGTTTTGAGGGGGGTTGAAAAGGGAAATTACTTGGATAAAAATATACAAAGCAATCGATAAATAGTAAATAGTGTAGTGATTTTCTAACTAAAATCATAACTTCCTCATTAATTATCCGATCTTACTATTTAAAAAATTTGCTCTGTTTCTCTTGTTTGTCTGCATCTAGTAAAAGCAAATAATTTTTGTAGTGAAGTAAGCCTTTAATTTTTTTGAATCCGCATTATTATCGATAACTTGATTCAACTTCCGTTCACTTTCTTAACATTTCCATGTAACTCTGCTCTTTACGATCAGTTTATTTATCGCGATTTAGGGGTGTAAAAGGGAAAATATACTACTAATTCCTTATATTCCCATTGTCTCTACACAGGCCAGTACACTCAGCCGGCGGGAATCGTTCAGCTTCCTCCCACATACAACGTTCAGCAGGCGTATCCCCCTGCTGGCCAGCCTGTTGCTTCAGCTCCCTACACCCAAGCTCTTGGTGCCCCGTACAACCAGGCTCCTGGTGCCCCGTACAACCAGGATCCTGGTGCCCCGCATTTCCAAGCTCTGGGTGCCCCGTACAACCAACAAGCAGCTTCTGCACAGACCAAACCTGACGAAGTGGTGGCTTAAATATTTTTTAAAAATTGGTTGTATTTATTTAAAAAAAATAGCAATCACCCTAACATGCAAATGCTTACATTGGGAATAACAAGCAATATGACATGTGCTTCACGAATAAAATGCAAGCCTTCTCCGAGAGACACGGTCATTAAGAGAAAAGGTAGTTCATCCCTCCAAACTTTCAAATATTCTGAAGAGAGTGATTAGGGTTCTAAACCGTAATACTGTGTTCATAATTTGACATCATTTCCTTATTTAATATCTGCAATTGGTAATTAAAAGAAAACAAATAAGAAAATTTAATATCCAAAATAACTGCTGATATTTTTTGAGAGATATGCATTAAGTCTAACAAAAAATGGTCTAATGTTCCCAATCGCTTTATAAATCTTTAAAATGTCAATTCAGAAGACCAAACAAGAACATTTGAAATTGTAATAAAAACAATGGAATAATGCTTTATTTAACTTTGATATGAATTGAAATCGTTTTTTGATGTTGATTATATATCGCTAAACCTAAGTAGCTTGCATAAGGTCTGTAGTGGAATATGCATGTCAAGTCTTTCAAGGGGGCCTAACCAAAGAGCAATCTAAATTATTGGAATCAATACAAAAACGTGCCCTGAGAATAATCACCCCCAACCTACCTTATACTGACGCTTTGGATGTCCTGAACATTGATTCCCTAGCTGATCGTAGAAAGAATATGTGCTTGCAATTATTCAACCACATAACAAAAACCTGAACACAAACTAAATGACCTTCTCCCACCAAAACGAGAGACAAAATATAACCTTAGGAGAAGTAAACAAGTGAGTCTGCCCAGGTGTTAAACAAACCGAGTTAAGAATAGTTTTATCCCTTGATGTGCGTATAATTTACAATAAGCAGGTAATTAGTGCAATATACATTTTCAACCATTCCATATTCTTTTGAAATTGTACCTCAACACATGCAGCTATTTTTTAATTATACATATATATATATATATATATATACACTGTCGCTCATAAAGGTGGAATTTTTTTTTTATCCCAATTTATTGAATTATTTTTAAAAAAAATTAAAAATAATAGATCTAGAAAATAGTATACATTCTCAGATTTTATTGAATAATAATTTGCCAATGTGTGTTTTGCGTGACTGCTAAAGCATGTGTATAGTACTATGCTTATCAACTAGGGGACCTATGCCCTAAAGTCATAAATGACAGTGATGACGATTAATGCCCCACAAAAGGGCACTAATATAGCACATCGACACGGTTTTAATCCTGGGGCCCCACAGTTACGAGGCCATTGCTTTGTCACTGAACCATGACTGTAAGCAGCGGGGGCTAGGGTAGGGGGCAGTTTCCATAAATTAAAAAAAAAAACAGAAAATGCAATAAATTTTCAATGATTTATTGCATTTTACCCCGGTCCCCAACATAAACAAATCCTCTGGACTACCATGCATTATGGCTCAAGGCATGGGCACACAGAAGATTTTTTATGTTGGGAACCGGGGTAAAATGCAATAAATTATTGAAAATTTATTGCATTTTCTGTTTTTTTTTAATTTATGGAAACTGCCCCCTACCCTAGCCCCCGCTGCGTACAGTCATGGTTCAGTGACAAAACAATGGCCTCGTGACTGTGAGGCCCCAGGATCAAAACCGTGTCGATGTGCTATATTAGTGTCCTTTTGGGGGGGGGGGCATTAACCCTCATTACTGTCATTTATGACTTGAGGGCGTAGGTTCCCTAGTTAATAAGCATAGTAGCATACACATGCTTTAGCAGTCCCGCAAAACACACATTGGCAAATTATTATTCAGTAAAATCTGAGAATGTATGCTATTATCTAGATCTATTATTTTTAAATATTTTTTTAAATAATTCCATAAATTGGGGTAAAACTAAAATATTCCACCTTTATGAGCGACAGTGTATATTATCTTTGCTTCAGAGTATCAATTTGGAATAATTATTTGGTACATGCAGTTATTACTTTATACCCATATGTTGACGTATTATCTATTTTGATATTTGGATGAATAGTTTACTTGATTGATCAATGCAGCTTTTTCACTTCTTTACTTTCTTTTCTTTTCTCCTCTCTTGCTCACTTTTCTTCTCTATTCAAGTTTATGTTGTTTCCTATTTTCTTGTAATTATTTATTTGTAATATGACATGCCTAAATGATTTGTAATATTCTTTGTATTTAATGATCTACATGTATTTATATTCATAATTTATCAATTTCATTGTACTAAATTTAATCATGTTCATAATCATGTTAAAAAAGTATGTTTTACCAATCCAACTCTTTGGTTGCTATGGTTCTATGAATGAATAAATAAACGAATATGTAGCCTTTATCTAGTTGCCTGAAGTTTAGTGGAATACATTCATATACCGATGTATTTTTTTACCTGATGATATATTAATGTAGTGCCTTTCAATCCCGATGAGAAAAACAAAATATGATTTGAGGTAAACTAAATTTAAGATATTTGTGTAAAATTGATCTTTGCTAAAACTACACTGAAAAATATATGATAATCAGATTTGCAAGGTAATCATCGTATCTTAGAACATTCGTAAATTATATCAAATGAGGAATTAATGCGTACGTTGTATGATCTATTTAAATTAACTTCATAATCTTGCTCGTAGTAAATTCATGAAGAAGATTTCTTTCGTATGATAATAAACGCGACATTATGTAGAAATGCGAAAATGTGATGTGTAAAATATCCATATATTTGTTTAGAATCTGTGTCTTTCGGAAACTAAATACAAAAGTACTTCTTTCAAAAACCGTCAATGAATTATCGTTGTTCATTGTATGAAATGCAGAGTGCCAAAACATGACAAATGCTGAAACAAGAAAAACAGATTCCTTTTACAACAAGTAGGCGGGTAAGCGAGGGGAGTTGTGGATTGTGTTTACTACGGTATTCGTTTGAATTTTGTATTTAATAAGGCAAATTAAAAGAAAGTCCATCAGACAGAGAGTAATGCAAAGTAAAAAATGCATCGATTAAAATTAGTAAATGTCATTTTTAAACAGTCTGAATTAGATTTGTTGACATAACAAACAATGCAGTAAAGAATACAAGAGGCCAATACCTTACATCTTGCCTAATTCCGCGCACATTCTTATAATGCTTTTATTTTTGTAAAATGACTCTTTCTATTTTCGAAGTCATGCTATGTGCTTAGGCTGACGTGGGCACACCAAAAACCTTCAAGCTAAAAGTTTTATGTGTTGAATATCGTTTTTGAGGCTTTGTATGTTTAGCTGAATTCTCACATCTTACAAGGCGCGTATTAAAGACACCTTTCATGTTTGTTTTTCTTAGTTTGATGTGGATAAAATATTTGAGCAGCTGTATTCATAGCTTTAATACTTCATATCTTTATTTTGCATAGAATATTTTATAGAATACAACATTCACCAAAAAAAGTGATCTTTTTCAGTCCTTAATATTTCACTAAAGTTTAATTCTTAAGGTATAATAATAATAATAATATTGGCTTTCTTTAGTGTTATATTAGATATACAATGCGTCCCAGAAAAAATGAAACCGAGAATTATCGATGTTTAATCAAAACCTCTTTCATTTGATGCAACTCATATAATGCATATTTCACGCATGAGTGATTAAAATTAATTTGAAGAGAGGAAACCAAAAATTCATTTGGCGGATGGTATCTGAATTTCAAAGAGAAAATCACATTTCTAGAAAGTTGAGTTGCTGCCCTTTCATATCATACATCAATCACGAAAAATGAGCTAGGAATAACAAAGTTCAGTATGATTAAAGTAGTGCTTGCATTTCCATAATTTTATCAAACTAATTCGTTTTCAGTGGCTGCCTGCCTTTGCGACAAACGGAATTGACAAAAGACTTAACTCCGTTTCGTTGACAATCGGCCGTAGACGAAAGACTTCATTCATGGCTGATTGTCAACGGTCTACCGATTCCCCCCAGTGCATGTGACGTGCGTGCCCGGTACTGCCAACGAGCGCACAACGCACTGACTCCGTGCGTCTTTAAAATTGGTTTCCCACGGTCACTTGCTCTACGAAAGGCACATTTAGCACGTGCGTGCTGTGCACGTGATAAGTGCGTGGTCAACGCACGTTGTGCGCACTGATTTATGCAGTATATAGTCTCTACGGTGGAATGGGCGGCATCTTGAGGCAGTAGCAGCTGGGACTTCTGGAGAACATCGGAATGTCGTCCTATATATACCCCGGCATCGGGCGGAAAAACTCACCAAGTTCATCGCACATGCACGCACTTACAACGTGCGAGTGAGTAAGGACACCGTACGTGAGCAGCGCGTGTAAGTACGGCCTCCGTAAGATAACATGGCAACCGCACGGAGACCGTACGTTGTAAGCACGTTGTAAGTACGTACAACGCACTTACCACGTGCGCAACGTACGATGCACGCAGCCGTTGTCGGTACTCCCTCCCTGCCTTTGCCACTCCCTCCCTACGTTTTCAGAAAAACGTGGTGGCCGTGGCCTCCCCAAAAACCGTACGGATTAAAAACACGCAAGGTGGGTTGTGACCAACGCTTAAGGTAACCCAGGTTAAAAAAATGTATTTCAATTCTTTTAAACATTACATACACAGATAAGGGAAGATTTGGGATGAATTTGAATGGAAAAATAGTGTTAAACTGTACTGGGAAACGTATATATATATATATATATATAGAATTCCTTAACACAATGGACATGCTGATAGGAAAAAGGCCGCTTTCAATATGTAAGTGTGTTTAACGACATACCCCTCCCCTCCCTCACCAAAATAAATCATGTAAACAACAATTTCAATACAGGTTTCGTACTTAGAGAAAGATGAGAGAGAGAGAGAGAGAGGAGCGGAGGGAAATACAGAGAGACATTAAGAAAAAGAGAGATAGAAAGAAAACGATAGAAAAACAAAAAGAAAGAGAGAGGAATAAAAGGAAGAAAACGAAGATAAGATATGAAAGAGAGAGAGAGCGAAAGAGAGAGAGAGAAAAATACA